TAAAAGGTTAATGTAGAATTTCATAAACATTTTAATTGACTACATATTATTCCATTGTACTATTGTGATGGATACTTAGGTTTTTGACAGTTTCTCCCCATTCTGAAACATTCTGTGATGATCATATATCCTTATGTGCTTGTGTGATTGTATCTCCATGGGATAAATTCCAAAATGGGGAATTTAGGTATCAAAGGGTACATTTTAAATCTTGATATTTAATAAGGATTTCATTGAATCTGTAGAGTGTTTTGGGTTGTATGGACATTCTAACAACATTAAATCTTCTGATTCATGAGCACAAGTTGTCTTTCCATTTATCTGTTTCTTCTTTGATTTCATCAGTGGTTTGTAGTGTTCAGTGTACAAGTCATTTATCTCTTTAGCTACTTATATTCTTAATTGTTTTATTCTTTTTGATACTGTTGTAAATGAGATTGTTTTCTTACTTTCCTTTTCAGACAGTTTGTTGTTAGTATAGAGAAATGCAATGGTTCTTGAATGTTGATCTTGTATCCTGCAACTTTACTGAATTTGTTTATTAGTTCTAATAGGTGTGTGTGTGTGTGTGTGTGTGTGTGTGTGTGTGTGTGTGTGTAATCTTTAGAGCTTTCTACATATAAGATGATATCATCTGTAAATGGAGATAATTTTATCTCTCTTCTTCCTTTCCAATTTGGATGTCTTTTCTTTCTTTTTCTTGCCTAATTGCTCTGAGTAGGACTTCTAGTATGACATTGAACAGAAGTGGTAGAAGTGACCATCTTTGCCTTTTTATTGATTTCACAGGAAGAGGTTTCAGTTTTTTACCATTGAGTATGATTTTAGCTGTGGATTTTTCTTTTTCTTCTTCTTCTTCTTCTTCTTCTTCTTCTTCTTCTTCTTCTTCTTCTTCTTCTTCTTCTTCTTCTTCTTCGTTGTTGTCCATATGATTTTATTGAGGTTAAATTCACATAATACAAAATTATCCATTATGAATCGAACAATTTAGTGGAATTTAGTATATTCACAATATCGTGCAACCATCACCTCTATCTAGTTTGAAAACACTACCATCACCCCCAAATAAAACCCCATACCCATTAAGCACTTAATTCCCTTCTCCCCATTCCCTTCTCCCTTCAGCCCCCAGCAATCACCAATCTACTTTGTCTTTCTAAGTATTTAGCTACTCTGGATCCTTATATAAATGGAGTCATACAAAGTGTGACCTCTGGTGTACCTGTTTTTCATAAATGGCAAGTACTCTGCATATGAAGGATGTAAGTGACCGAACCAGTACCATCCTGTGGTACAACTCCAGGGAGAGCCCTCCAAACACAATGCGACTGGTGGTGGCCTCTGGAACACAAGCACTAATAAAAGAAGACTAATGAGGGCATGGCTTGCTCTCAGGTTGTGGGAACATAGATTTCACAGCTGAGAATCAGAAAACAGTTCCAGCCTCCCCTTTACTACTGTATGGCTTTGAGATCCGGGACATCCCACAACCTCTGTTGGTGAAGTGAGCCAAGTTCTCTGAGCATTTAACCCAGAGCCCCTCTTCTTTAAAGAGACCAAATTTAGTCTGTACTCTCTTCCCTGTTTTCAGTTGGTGCCCAAAGTTTCAGCCCTTTCCCACCTTCCACCTGCCACCTCCTCTTCCCACGTCCCAGAGGTCCCATGTACTTCTTTCCTCTGCAGACCTCCTCTCCCTCTGCACCTCTCCACTCCTTCAACTCTGTCTTCTGGGAACTTCTTCAAAACCCAACTCCCCTTTGTATTCAACTGCTTTTCTGAACTTCACACCCAATAACGCGCTGCCTCTGAGGACATGCTTCTCTGCGGCCCTCATAAGTGATGGATGGCCCTTTTATTTTCAAATGTCCCACACACTTACCAGGTCTTGAGATGGCTGTTAAAACTCATGACCCTTTGAGTTTTGTTCCACTTAAGTAAGTTATTTTCTTCCTCGTGTTTGTTAGCTACTGACCTCTTAGACATTCCCCTTCATTCTCTAAACGTGTTGGCTTCTTGCCTCTCTCCTTCCCAAGTCCTGACTAGTCTGGAATGAATGACTTCAGCCCCTTGATGTTCCACATTTCATTGACTTTCTCACTCCACCTTAGCTGTATATAATGCCTTGTTCGCACTCTTGATCTAGTTATTACTTGAATCTTCTCTAATTCCCAGCTTGCTATTTCAAACATGTTCTTTCTCACTGTAACCTCCTATCCTTCCAACTTGCTTATTTAATATCCCCCTTTATATGCTTTGACTTCATTGGAACCTCTGGTTCGTGGAATCCTTTACATTCTCCCAATGCACGATCTCTCTTGTTTTAAAAGTTCTCCCCAATGACAGAAATTGCCATTAGCCTACCCAACATTCACTCTTGCCCTCTTCTTCTGGTTATAAACCCCAGGTTCTATTCTGGGAGGCCATGTGCTGAGTTAAATAACTAAATTCCCCAGAATACTTGTAGCTAGGAGTAGCCAAAGATGTAACAGGAGGTTGCTGGGTGGAGCTTCCAGGGAGGCTCTGAAGGGGCTCAGAACAAGCTCTCCCAAATATGCCACACTGACTGATTAGTTTGAGCTGATGGCACTTGGAAAACAGCAAATGCAGGAGAGGCTTTCTCTGAACTCCTCATATCTGTCTAAAGGCAATTTCTCCAAAAGGAACTCAGTTATCATAAGTCCCGTCCATAGGAGTTCCATCAACCAGAGATGATTGGCTCTTATCACAGGAGAGGGGACTAGAAGTGGGCACCACACCCAGGCAAACCTTGTCACAACTGTTATATCCCTCTAAGAACCCACTCATCTTTCCTAAAAATCATTTACTCTCCCCTAAGTTGCCTTCCCCTTCCCCTATTAAGCCAGAACATAAGCTCTCATGAAAGCTCACTGCCTTTTGGGGTAGTCACATTTTTTTCCTGTGGTGCCTCTGTGCGCGTAATACTTAAAATTAACACACTTATATATCTTCTCTCCTGTTACTCTTCCTATCGTCAGTTTCTTTCATAGACCTAGCTACCAAACCTAGGAAGGTTGAGGGAAGTCTTTCCTCCCCTACAGCTCTTTAGGAGGTTGTCAGACTATAAGCCCTCATTAGCCTTTCTCCCCTCCTTTCTATTTGATGCGGACATACTGGCTGGGGTTGCAATAGACTCTTGGACCATGAGTTGATTTTGAGGCTGGATATTGTACAAGGGACAGTGGAGGAGAAGAAGGAGGAAAGGAGCCTGGGTCCTTGATGACATCAAGGATACAACAAGCTAATCCTATAGTATCTGCTTCCAACTTCTTTTACATGAGTCAGAAATAAACTTTGATCTAGTTTAGCCCTCATTATTTGCAGCATCTTTTACCTACAGTCAAAGGTAATCCCTTAGTAATACACAACCTAAGCCAGTGTGTATGCCATAGCTCATCATTTCCATAACAGTTTGCCTCTCTGCTTTTCATCTCACCTATATATCTCACCCGACCCCCTGATGAATCCGAACATCTAAATTTCTTTGTGTCAAAATTCAAGCGACTGTGTAAATTGCTGGGGAAAAGCGACATAACAAGGCAGGGGACATCACTGTGAATTCATAGTGAACAACCACAAATGGGGCTCTATGCTGTCCCCAGTGACCCTAACACATCAGTTCATCCTTCCATTGTTTACAGTGACTGTTGCAAACCTTTACTCTCCTTTTATTTCTGACAGCTTGTCACATAAGTTCTCAAATAGGCAGCACTAATCTATAATGAAAACATCAGAACAACAGTAATTGCCCCTGGATGGAGGGCTGAGATTAGTTGAGTAGGGGGTGGGGGGAACTGTCTGGGATAATAGGGGGTGTGGGTCATAGAAGTATATGCTTTTGTCAAAATTCATCAAACTGTACTTTTAAGATCTGTGTGTACACAATTTAACTAAAAATCAGTAAATCAATTGATATATGTCAATATAAAAATCAGTCAAAATCAATAGTTCCAAAATAGTGATAACAGTATAGTAAACCAGATATACCTATTACTCAGCCTGAAAATGTATTAAAACATGGCAAGTTTTGTTTCATCTCTAGTCTTGCTCACCCTCTGGGTTATTTAGAAGCAAATATTTCAGTATATATCTCTAAAAGATAAGAGCCTCAGGGCCTTTGCATATGCTCCCTCTCTGCCTCTTCCTTCCCCCACATAACCCCCTCTTCATTTGGTTATTCTTCCTTCGGGTCTTACGAATATATTCATTTGTTTAATTACTCTATTGATGGTTGCTTCCTTATTTTAGCACTTATGAATAAAACTACTAGGAAATATGTTTGTACAAGGCCTTCAAGGACTTCCCTGTAGGGCTTCCTTGACTAGATCAGGTCTGCCTGAAAAATACAGAGGGTGCCAAAAGAATATATACACATTTTAAGAAAGGAAAAAAACTGTATTAAAATTGTAATACTCAATATATACCGATAACAGAAGATGCATACAAGTCACATGTATACATTTTTTGGCACCCCCTGTATGTTCTTAGCACACTGTGTTCCTCTTCACAGAACTCATTAGTTTGTGTTAAACATGTGATTATTTGATCAACTTCTCTCTCTATCTCTCTGTCTGTCTGTCTGTCTGTCTGTCTCTCTCTCCCCCACCATACCACAAATACTGTGAGGCGAGGGGCTGTGTGTATTTTGCTCACCATTTTGTCCCTAGCACTGAGCACTTCACCTTGCACATAGTAGGGCTCAAGAAAGATAAGATGGATATATGACTCAGTCTGTTTACTAGTCTGTGGTAGGAGCAGGTTGGTTTACAGATGGTCACTCATTCTCTAGCATTCTATGATTCCAAGATCCAGTTCAAACACTTCAATTCACAGGCAGCAAAGTGGTCCAAAATCTGAAGTGATTCCCAGGCATTTGATGGAGAAGAGGAGCTGCTGCTCTGGCCTCTTCTGCTCTATGATTCTGGGTCACACTTTGGCAGCCACTTAGCCACTCATAGGTTCCTTTTCTTCCCCAATCCCAGGATGCCTGAGTGAGCTTCTCCATTTGCAGACTGATTGGCCCCTCCACCACAATGACTGTCCAAGTGTGGACACGGCCTTCGGGAGGTTTCTGTTGCCAACTCAATGTGACCTACTCGGTGAAGAAAGACAGTCCCTCCTCCCTGTTGGCAGCCGGGAGGGTGATGCTGTGGGAGGAAGGCCCTGGAAGCCTCAGGGGAGGACGGCTTTGTCATTGTCTGGACGGGGGATGTGTTGCCTCCTTGCTGCACAGCTGTTACTGCTCCTTGGCCTACAACGGACACCGAGCAGCAGACCACCCGAATGGAAGCCTGTTTCTTATTTGCCTGTCGCCATGCGGCCTGTCCACCTCAGCTGCGTGAGGAACGCCAGATGCCTGGAAGGATTCTGGAGACATTCTCCTTGGCTCTGAATTACTGATAGAACTGGGAGAGAAGGAAAAGATCAGGATGGACTGCTGTCTCACGTGACCAGTAGGAGACGCTGGAAGCACCAAGGGAGGCACCAAAGTCCCAAAGGAGGGAAACAACTTTGCAAGAAAATTAGGGAGCAAGAAGTCAGGTGTGCCTCTCTTGATGCCATGCAGTGTTCCAAGAAAATGCTGCACCTGGGTTTTTCCATGCAAAGGGATACTGTGGATCTGACTTCCTACAGCTCTGAGATCTTTAAGGCAAGAAGCAGCAATAAACTGATGTCTTGGAGCTGCCAACAATTATTTTCTCTGTGAGGATAGAAGCAGAATTCATCTTTGGAGGAAGGCTGGTCTTTTATTTTGTGAAAAACACCAACTATTAGATTATGCAAAGGTCAAGTTAGAATCCTACTCTGGAGGGGAGAAATTTGAGACAAAGAAAAGCTTAGCAGAAAGCTAAATTAGTCTGCATAACCATGCAGAATAACTACACAAGTGGCAACTCTGGAAAGCGTTACATGTCTGAGGGGAGTTGGGGGCTTGGGTTTTAGGAGACTGGTGATGGTGGAAGGTGGATGGTTCTCAACAAGACGTAAGGTAAATGACTGCGCCTGTCAGGGGTGGGATGCTGGCAGGAGGGCACGGTTGATGGACCCCAGGAGCAATGATACCTGAGATCCACTTTAAAATGTCTTCTTCTCTTAACAAAGGGACAACAACTTGTCTGTTCTCCTTCCCCGATTCCCCAATGATGTTCCCCTCCCCCAATTCCCCAATAAAATCTTAAAAAAAAAAGTCCTCTTCTCTTATCCCATGTGAATTACTGAAGTTTCTTTCATTGTCAGCAATAAAACCTGCCATTATCTAACTGAAGAAAAAACATTCTGGAAAAATATGTTGGGAGGCTCATAGGATTGGAGGAATAATAGATAATCAAGATTACAAAGTGGAAACAAGCACAACCCCCAAAATGTAGAAGCAGAAGATTATGGTCCTTCTAGATGGGCTCTACATGCATCCTGGCCCCCCAATTTCCAGACTGTGTCTTTCTGTTCAAGCTTCAAATTCTAGGTAGACAGAATCTTACTGTCCCATCTTGGTAAGGTATTGCTCCTCCAGGATCAGGTGGCTATGTTGGGGACAGGGAGTGGCAAAGATTTGATTGCTGGGGGACTTGTCATGAAACTGGCATCTTGGCTTCCCTACAGCAAACCATCAGGAATCCATGATGCCATGATTCTGCAGGGTTCTCAGAAGCAGTTTAGAATAGTGGAAATAGCCCGGGATAGGAGACCCAGGGTCCAATTCTAAGCAGCTGGGTACAGTCATCACTAGGCCTAAGTCTCACCGTCCCCATCTCTAAGTTCCTCTGGAGTTCTGGGGTTCCACCTACTCTATAGAAGAAGCCTCCCCTACCCATGCATGTTAGTTCCCTCTACACACCCAAACACCGAAAGCCTGAACGCCTCACAGACCCTGCCTGGCTCTGGCACTTATATAACTATCAAAAGCTTTACCATGTTTCTCGTCCATCCACAATTTGGTGCTATCAGCTCAGCTGCCATTAGCGAATCCATCACATTAAGCTGCAAGAAGTCACACCTGTCAAGCCAAGCTGTTTATCTCAATAACTTCCCCACATAAAGCACAAACAGGGGACTATTTATTTTCCTTCCTGACACACATAAGGCTGTTAAAAGTCTGAGTGAGCTGGCAGTTTACATGAAGCTAACCTTAATTGCAGACTAGAGCTCCATAAAAGGAAGATCGGGCCTCATTAGCTAGGGACCAATTTTACATTTTTCTCCTCTGACCAAAACTGTTTAAAAATGTGGGGTACTATCTCCTCCCAGTTAGACATAAATTTCAGGGCTGTCAAAATGCCCTTGCTGAATTTCAGCTTTTCTCATGTTTGAAAATGTTCGGTGTGTCAAGTTGGGCTACAGAAAAGAAATGTTATATCTTCCTTGGTTTCTCTCCTGAAACAAATGAAAAATCTCAGTCTGGTCTTTACAGCACGACCTCAGTCACCCAAAGGACATGACCCTGATTAATTTTTTTTTTTCATGATTCAGGGTTAGTTAGAAATACTTTCAGCCTTCCCTGTCGAAAATTTGCCTGTCCTTTCTGTTATTTGTGGGGGCAGCTATTTGGTGCCAGGCACACTGATAATCAATGCATTATCTGGATATCCACAAGTCTAGTCCAAATGGCTACCACCTCCATATCCCTCCCCTGCATAACAGCAGGACAGAGCCCAAGCCTGGGCCTCACTCTGTAACCTCTCTTCTGCTTTCACTCCCCTTTCTGTTGGCGAGTGCCTGCTCATAACTATTAGGGAAATTCTCCCGTTCTCCCTCCTCTTCTACTGCTATTGCCATCACTGGCTGTGTCAGGTCTATTTCTGGCAGCTTCCAAAACGGAGCTGGCGTTTTTGTGTGTTTGTTTGCTTGTTTGTTTGTTTTGCAGAGTCAAGGAGAAGGACCCCCTTCCCAACTCTACTCTCCACTTTGCTGCTGGGTCCCCAAAGCAACTCTGCTTGTGCCCAGTGTCTCACTAAGTTGCCATGAGCTTCTACCTCTGTCTGTTCTCCCCAGCCTGACTAGTGGACCTGGAATATGAAGGAAGTCTTCCAGCTCCCCACGTGCCTCTCCTGTGTCGCTCCTCCTCCCCACTTCCAGCAAGCTTTTCTTTCCTTCCTTAGGGATATATGAAACTAAAGCTATAAAACTTTAGATCTTTATAGATGTAAACTTCCATCTACACGAATGGAACATAACCGACAGCTAACACATAAGTAGCATGTGCCAGCTGCTGCTCTAAATGTTTATTATAAAGAACTTACTTGGTTTTCACCACAGCACCAGGAGACAGGTTGTATCATTATCTCTATTTATAGATAAGGAAACCCAGGGCAGAACGAGGTAAATCATCTGGCTGGGAAATGGTAGTGCTGTGTTTGTGCTGATGAAGACCATGCTATACTGAGTCTCAGATAATGGGGTGTGTGTGTGTGTGTGTGTGTGTGTGTGTGTGTGTGTGTGTGTAGTACTACCTACACATAAATCGCAGCCAACAGGCCATCCCAAACTTCTTTGAGGCAGGTAATACTGTTCCTATTTTGATGAAATAAACACAGGAAGGTTACAGGCCCCAAAGTCAACCAGCCTAACCCAATGCACCCAGGGTTCTGTCAGGCATGACTTCCTTCAAAAGTTGAGTTCTTCGCTTTGCACTCACCACCTCCCTTTCAGAACCTGAGTATTCTATTGGGTTGTCGGAAAAGTCATGACGCATTATTGCAATGAAAAACATAGAAAACATACGTCATGACTTTTCCAACAACCCAATATATTCCTACAGTAACAACTGTATGGTATGTAATTTAACTGATTCCTTCTTTGAGAAGTTAAGGTTTTACAGGGTTTTAGGGACAGAGGGAAGGACGCTAGACTTGGCATTGAAGGACTGGCCAGGGACCTCACTTTATACCTTACTTGTTGTGTGACCTTGGGCAGACAAGAGCCTTTAGTTCTCTGGTTCTCATTTGCCAAATGAACATTTGTTCATTTGTTCAAATAAGACACACACACACACACAGAATACGAATTGTATGGTATTAATAAAGTAGATCCTGAGTCCACCTTTGGGGGCTTTCATCTTGGCTTGGCACTTGTAAGAAGGCCTATGACATCAAATGTCTCCAAGCCTCAATTTCTCCATTTGTGAAAGGAGGATGATAACAGGGCCCACCTCAAAGGTTTAGAGTGAGGAGTAAGGAGAAAATAACATAGGCCAAGCCCTCAGCTCCCAGTGCTTGGCGCAGAGTAGGCAACGGACAAAGAACAGCTCTTTTTATTAGCTTAGCATCCATTCATGGGGGCCTGCTACATGTTAGACTCTGCATCTAGAACATTCACTGAGATGAAGGAGGACATAGTCCTGTATTATCGGCCCCTCTACCTCTCAAGAGAGCTGAGGAAATCAATGGAGATGAGATTTTCTGCAGTGTGGAGCTGCATGGGTGTGAGTTGATGGGTTTGCTGTTGGACCATGGGTCAAATGCAGACGTTCAGTGGAGTGGCATAAAAAAATGCACTTGAAGGAGCCCTGGATGGTTTGCCCAGGAAGAAATCATGTGACTTGGACAAGTCGCTTCCTTCCCTAGTGTTGCATTTCATAGCCTCTAAGACTGGGGGATTGTACAGGAGAAATATCTGGATTCTCTTTCAGCTACAACCCTCTCTGATTCTGTTGTGTCTCTAGCTAAAAAGAGTCTTGGGGCCCCTGGAAGTTGTTTTAGATCAATCTCTAACACGAGTTAATATATTTTTTAGAGAATTTGCCCTTTCTTCATCATGTAGATGATTGTACACGAGCCCAGTAATGGAGGATTTCTGACTGGTGAGGTGCAGTCAATTGAGGTTTTGCTCTGTGTTTGTTGGTACCCGTTCATCTGCGAACATGACCTAATCTTTGGAGAGGGGACTCAGAACGGCCAGGGATTTTTCTTACTTTTGGAGATATGTGTTCGCTTATCCTTTTTGTTATTCCCATTCATGTCTTCCAAGCGATTAGTGATGTTCCAATGCCCTGAGGGCTCCTGAGTTATATAGAAGCTTGCCCTGCTGCCCGCTGTTCTCCATTGAGAAGTTGCCAGTGGGCCTCCCAGCTCCCACTGGATAAGTTTGCTCCCCACAGGCATAGCCTCAAGCTACTACTTGAGTGACC